GAGGCGTCTTTGGTCCTTGATAGTTGATCACTAAGAGTTAGAAACACCTCCCTGAGGTAGCTAGTTACTCTTGAGAACTAAGTGCTGTCGATTAATTGAATCGTTTGGTCCCCTGATACAAGGACCATAAGCTTTACGCTTATTGACTCATTGAGTCTAGTTCTTTAAAACTAAATTGCTCAATGATGTTAAGTCTTCCTCTGACTTAAGCAGCTGTGTAGCTCCGCTACAATGGAATCCTGATAAGGCCTATGTAGTACGGTCACACTCCTGCAGTTTCTTAAACTTTAAAGAACGATGCAGTCAACTCTACCCTTGACAGTTACCTCGTTACTCGAAGAAACTAGGCTACTGCGCAACGATACGTTTTGTAAAGATGTGAACGCGACTTATTTCACATTACAAGATTGTTGTTACGTCTCGTTTTGAAAGAGGTCACGTGACAATGCAAGCTTAAATAAGGGTGTCCACTTGTGACCTATTAACATTCTACAAGAAGCTGACGCTGCATCATACCCAACAACGAGCCCAAATAGCCGCGACACTGCTTTTCGAAGGCTCGAGTGTTGTTGAACCTCAACCGTTTTTTCTGGTCCAATGTAGCGAAGAAGGTTACGGAACCAGCTTTAAAGACGCTCTCAGACAAAATCAAATGGCTCAAGATTTCACTGCGTATACTCCGCATTGCATAGGTATGTTCACAAATGTCATAGGGATCTCATGCGCGCATGCAATAGAGCAAAAAGTTGCCAGCACAAACAAGGACGGTTCACAATTTCCGCTCGCACTAGTGGCTTCAAAAGCATCCGTTATATTGTTAAATGCAATGCCATCCGACAATTTGCTAGGCATCGTTCTTTCCAATATTTCCGAAAATCACCAGGACCTTGCGCCGCACCAGCGACATATATTTTAAAAAGTAATCCGTGAAAACATTGGGCAAGATGGTGTGGCATGTGTGGTAAACCCGCAAGTAACCCGTACGCGCGGATGTACAAAAGGCAGCGACAGTTTCAAAACAGACAACACGACGTAAATAGATTTTTCAGCATTCGAGTACGTGAACGACAGATTTTACCGCCTGAAAAGAAGAGATGCAGCAAATGTCGCTCGTACGCGCATTGCATAAGGAGATGCAACTAGAACGCCGGAGTGAGATGCACCAAAAACGCCGGAGTCATAGAGGCGAAAAGGTAGAATGTCATCATCGAAACTTTCTAAGACTTTGTGCCATCATTTTTAATCGACCGTACACTTTTCGATGTTAGAGGCGAATGCAACTGAGACTTATGTGCAATTGCAAGTTTTTTAGACGGTCAAAATCCATCTGGGCGTTGATCAGGCGAGAACTGCATGCAAGGATTTGGGCGAACTTCGCCTTGTTATGAGTATATGCTGTATTTGGGTCTGACCAGGCAAACAAGTTGGCGTACTTGTTCAAAGAGCGAAGTCCGGTCGACAAACCATGGTGGATGGTAATGTCAGTGATGGATAATGGTATTGCAAACATACCAATGTACCGTCCATTAATTATCGGGCGTTGGTGCAACTATGAACTTCTTGCCGCTGACCTGTGGAGTGGAAGCCGACAACTGCCAATTGTTCTGCATTTAAGAACAAAATCACATTGTTGTGCTCGAGATAGATGAAAATTTACCAGCTTCACTAGTGGTCGCTTTCTGGCGTCGACGCGCATATCCTGTGGCGCAGTCGTGGACTGATCCAGAATAACTTCGTTTGTGGATGGCCACTATGCATGCTCCTACCATTACGACAGCAGATTTGGTTGGTGAAGAGGATGGTTCTAGTAGTGAAGAAGAGGAGAAAGACATAGATCTAGGTACGTTGAGCACTAAGGCAACTTGATGTAATTTTCGATTATGTTGGACGTTAATCATTAATCAATTGTCGCATTCTCCATATCAACTTACATTTCAAATTTTGTTTTGGTCACTTTTTGGTCATTTCTGCGGTCACGTCGTTTGTTTCTGCTGTTAGTTTTGGATCTGAGCCATCTGATTGGTCAGTAATTGGGGTGGTGGTATATGTAACAAAAGGGTGTGTTAAGGATAACACTAGCCGATAGATATTAATGTGATAATACAGGGATTAATATTAAATACCGATCATCGATCATTTGAACGTGCCCTTTCATTTCTATTAACCTAGAAGCGAAATGGCTGCATATTTGACATGACTTTTCAGCTTGGAAACTGAAGTTTGGTCCTTGCTTCAGCACATTGAGATATTGCACATCATGCTCGAATCTAGTTGTAATTATATACCTTTCAAATTCGATATGTACCGTGGTCGAAACGCATCTAATATAAAAGGTAATTCGAAATCTTGAAGGTGTTGATGCAATTAAGTCATGCTTAGCTTCCTCCACACCATTTAATTGATCAATTTGAGGGTGTCAGACAATTCCTAATCGCGTAGGCCCAAGAACTTTTACAGGTAGGTGCTACAGTAAAATTTCACCACTGTACCGTCATGATATCATCATTCCTGACAGTAGAGTAGAAGATAAGATCTAATCGTGAAACGAGGCTACTGGTGCTCACGCGAAGATATAGCTTGCGGCAAGGAAAACAAGAGAATTGAATGCGACAACCAACATTCAGCCTAACAGTAACTTTATATTAGACTTCTCTCTTCATTACTAATCAGTTTATTCTAGCCAAGAAGCCAGTCCAGAGATCAATATCTAGAATCTTGCATGGCCGCAATTAGATCCAACTTGTAAATGAATAACGATCTTGAGTGCAAACGAAAGTGGCCGCTCGTCGTTTTAGCCGTTGATAAAGAACATACGAATTGTTGGCTGCAGCGTCAGTTGAAACGTGTGATGTGGTGTAGCGACTTATTCATAGCAAAAAAACGGGTTGCAATGCTGAGCGGCCTTCTGGACGACTAGAAGCTGCCAGTTCCTACTAGCTGCGCTTATGCATTCCAGAAGATTCATCACTCGAATCAATAAGTGCCAATGGAGAGATCGGCTGTACGAGGGCTACGCCGGCACCTGACCTATAATTCAACATACATTACGCAGGCCTTTTTTATTGGCCTTGCACCCGACAGGACAATCACTCTGTCAAGTGGATGCTATTATAAAAACTCGCGTGATTATCATTTCTGCTAGCTACGCAGGTGGCTCAGCGATCTGTTCTTTGGACATGCACATGGCCTTAATGAATTCATAAGAAGACTGGTGACCATTTGGTTCTACAATCCGCAGTAAATAATGAGTGCGGATGAGGGGCGTTCTGGTCATGGCTAAATATCGTATATTCGACAAACATATGTACGTACACGCGCGTTTTCGTTTAACTTGACGGTGCTGTAGGTACAGCAATCGAAACGCCACTGCTCTAAGCATCTCTCACTTAAATCATATAATTCTCTTGACCTGCCAACACATCTGGCAAATGAAACCGCCATGGTTTTGAGGCAGAGCCAATTTTCGGATCCAAACTAACAAATTTTGATAAAATATGCTAATCGAGTTTCACATTTACCAACCATCGTGTTCTCTCCATACGTTTGTTCGGGTAGTCAGTGGATACAAGGCCAAGGGGGCTCCGAAAAATCAAGCAACACGCTTTAAACAACGACTTTTAAGCCTTTTAAGCGTGAAACAGCCAAAATATGAAATCTGAGTTGTCTGAACTACTAAATGATCAGAAAAGCTGTAGAAACTGATCTAACATCGAGATTTGCCCCAGCAGGCACGCGAATTATACTCGTACGAGCGTGAAGGGGTCGCAGCCCGACAAGAATATTAGCAATTACGACAAAATTAGCTCCTGTACGACGAAAAAGGTAGTAGCAATACGAATAGCGATAAAACAGTAGATGCTGATCATGCAGCCTGGGAGCCCCAGCAATATTGGTAGGCATGGCCATCAAAGAAGAGCCGCTGCCGATCGCGATTCTACCTACACCTGCGTCGTAGAAATAAGCAAGCAGGTGAGAGTACGGCACAGTAGTCCACTCTTGTCAGAAGTCATGGTCCACTTTTCGTTCTTTAAAGAAGGTGAACAAGCACGTAAGCACAGCCCAATCGTTTTGTTCACCTTTGTCTTAGAGCTGGTTCTTTACGTGTTCGGGTGCGATGGTGTCCTCCCTGCACGCAGGGCATCCACACCTTCCTTATAGCTGGAGGATGGTCCTATTTAGCCGACCTTAGTACAGCAATCGCAAAGCCAATATCCCACGCATACACATGAGCAGCTCTCTTTGCCAGCTCTAGGCTGTCATAGGTTCTACCGAAAGGGGATTAGAGGGAGACCATCTAGTGCTAATCATTATGGTGTTGAACGGAATGGTTTAAAGGAAGGGTCCGTGGAGGCAAGGATGTAAAGAAAGCGTGAATCGGCTGCTGGGTTGTAGGTATGAAGAGACGTGTACGAGCAAAAAATCATGTTTTTGGAGGCGATTCACAATCTTGTAGGCTATCCACTGATTTTGCGGCTATCCACTAGTTTTTTAAGCGAGTTGCTTGTTTTTTAGGATTCCCCGTTAGCCAATCATATTTGTCAAAGGGTATCATTTTTCTCAGGGATTGAACTAGCCAGATCTGGCTGTAGCCGCAACGTTCTGCCTAAGATGTCGCCTCGCATTTGCGAGCAGGAGTCTTCAGCTATGATCGATACAAGTTCCAACAAGAGCTACTTTATAATAAACCTTAAGATGCCTACAACGTCGAAAAGACAGTGTATCGACGTTAAGGATGGGCCCATCACATCGAGCTGAGTGCGCGACCGGGCTGTATGAAATGGAATTTGATACAAGAATGAATCGCCTACATCAATCCCGATTGATCCTGGATGCGCTGATTCAGAGCTGCTACAACACCGAGCAAAGCTTGCATCGAGCCTCACGCAATATATTCAAGTTGTCAATTGGCTGCTGCAACGAGCATTAAAGCTAGAGTGAAGAATGCTACTGCATAACGACAAATGTAGTGGAGCTACTACCTTACTCTAAATGCGGAAATCCTACTCAGTCATGTCCTTACATGTCAGTTTTGCGGTACGTTTCCCATGCACATGCGACCGGAACAACTTGTAAAATAGGCTCTGCAATGGACATAAAGATGTACCGTCACCAGGTGAGACAATATGCTTGAGCTAAAGCGATAACCAGCGAATGCCAAAGACTACGATTCCTACTTCAAAGTGGAACGTCACATCATTCATCTGGCATTTGTAGACTAACACACGATGCGACTTGCATAGGTGCTTCTTCTGCTTCAATTGATCAGCGAAAGGCTTATTACGTCCATGAGCGTCAAGCATTCGGCGCGCTTGCTTATTGTAATCGCGTACTCTACACTTTTGCATACAACTTGTACGAAGCACAACAGATGCAGGTTGTGAGTCATAGGGCTAGCCGTCGCAATTTAGTTTTCATGCTTCAACTGTGCTAAAGGCGCTGTGAGCTTATCGTCATCGTTAGATTACTCTGACGCGACAAACGCTGGCAACCGGAAGAACTACTACCGCCTTTACTGATGGAGAACTTACCAGTTCATCGTCGTCACGAAGGCCACTGGGATTTCGGTCGACAGTAACGTCTTTGATGAGTACAGTAATTCTGATGACGATGACGGACCTCTAGGGGAATGAATACAATTACCACAGTCGTGACGGTTACGACGCAGACAACATGGGATCACGTCCAGCCGCACATTGCCCCCTGCTAGAGCTGCGGTGGAAACCAGGCTGACTTGATTCACATCTCTATTTCTGTCACGGCAACGACCGCGACAGCTGCGACATACAGCGATAAACATGAACGCGACTTCAGGCTCAGTACAGCAACAACTACTGAGGCAGCGGCTATGGTATGGCTATAATCACTCCGGATTCTTCGGCTTGAGGCAGACAGCTTATACATGTATCGGCCGGACGAAAGAACGTACGAAAAAGGCTTGTAAACAGCATAAGACCAAGAAGGTGCGAAAGAAATGCGCGACTTCAAGCCTAGACGACGTCGCCCACCTGGCATGGATCGAGTGCGCCGACAAATGATTACGATACTAAATCCGTTGATTGTGCTTTGCGCTTTCGGATGTAAAGTCGTTGAAGCTTTCTGCCATGTCAGAGTGAACAACCTGGTTTCTACTGGATCCCCCTACCGACTTCCTCGCACTCAGGACGTGCGCATCGGATGAGAACAATGCCGAACAGTCAAGCGTCAAGACCTGTTCCGACCGTCTGTGTAATCCTGTAAAGAAAGTGTCGGGAGAGAGCTGAAACCCTATGGGAAGGCCGCGAGCGGCACATGGAATTGCTTTCCAGGTGAACCCTAATGTGCACTACTTGAGTCCGTCGGACTCATCTTTCGCTTTCAAGTGGTGCACGAGCCATCACATTGGAGTCATCATCAGCAAGTGGGGTATGGACCTCGCTGACGGGATTCGGTCAAAGTTGCGTAGCAGTGTCATCAGCACGAAGTTGTCTTTCGTTCAGATGATCTCACTCGAAATACGCTACAACTCTGTGAGAAAGAGATTGACCTTGATTATCCATGACCATCAGCGTATCATCCATTAAACTCCAGCCACCAAAGAACGAAGCGAAGTTCCGTTACATCAATGCGGTTGCGGCCTCCTGGGAGAGAAGGAATGGCTAATGATCGCTGTCATGCCACAAAAAGATGCCAGCTACAGTGGTATGCCCCCTTGATCTACTCTCGTGACTCCATGGTCCGCGCCCACTGTACGCACATGTAATGTCATGGCGAAAATTTCGCACTGCGCCGTCCGCTAAGTAAAATAGTCAGCGGGAGCGACCTGTGCACCTCTTTTTCGATTTCTCACTGCGATCTCCTTGCTTAGGTAAACCTCGGGCGAAAAGCCACGCACGTCGCCCCCTGCCGTACAGTATCCAGCAATGAGGGCTACAAAACATGCACCCATGACACGTCGTGCGAACACATTCACGCAGAGCTAGACAATCACTCAGGACGTGCCTGATTTTTTGTCGCATTCAACAGATGTGTCTGAGCGAGTCCCCACCTGTTTTCTCCATGGAAGGAAAAGAAAACGGCCAGTCCCAAGGCAAGCCCCGTCAACTTAGTGTGAGCGAGTGAGCACGATCGTCGAGCTCGACAAGCTGATGCGTTTTTTCAGATCCGGTGCGTCGCACGGATACAAAAAGCGTAAGCAATGGCCCGTCGTTATCAGAGCCGCGCTTGTCTCGAGCCAGAGGCCCTTTGACGGGCTCTATAACCACCTCGCGTCGTGTCGCAAACCTCATTTGACGTGTTAAAGTCGCGACACTCGCTCTCGTCCTCACGTTTAGTCTCACCGCACGGCTGCGTGACCATGAAAGGATTGAACAACGTTACAATTGAACCAGCAAACTCACTCGCTCGCTCGCTCTCTCTCTCTCTCTCGACCATCATTTCGCCCCGACGTTGATTACATGCCAGCCATACGCTCTGTTCGGAATTGATTGCATCGTTTACCCGAACCCATCGTGTCTCCAACGCTCCAGTCGTATTATGATGGTGGCGTACTTTATGCTCGCAAAGCCGGTGCGTAACACCATGTGATACAAAAGTCAAGACGATTGGACGCTCGCACTCACCAGTGGTTGTTTTCTCCGCCCGCGCAGACATCGGGCGATGGCTGCCCGACCAGACACCCCTGTCAAACTCGATATCGTCGGTCGCGGGATCTCAGAGGGCACTGCCCGCACACGTCGGGCCTATTTGTTGCGCACAGAAACGAGCCATGATTATTCGCTTCAAGGCCGTCAAGTTGTCTGCATCATCACCATTCGTTAATTTGCCTTGTCGACGACAAGACGCAAGAAGAGACAGAAAACAAGGCCCTCATCATCGCCTCTTTTCTTGCCACCTCGCCCCCCTGGCCTCCCCGTCCTCGCAACCTCTTCTTTACGTGAATCTTCAGCGCCAATGCACCTCCTCGCCCGTGAACACGCGCTGTCGAGCCACGACGTCTCGTCCAGAAGTAGCACTAGAAGTGACTTGCCTCCGGACCAAGCGTCGCTCACCCTCTCAAGCGCTCGTCTTCTTCCCTCCCGCACGTCCTTAAGTACCAGTCAAAGTAGTACCAGTAGTAGCAGTAGTACCAGTAGCAGTAGCCCTTTCATGCCTCGTGCCGCGTTTCCTCAAGACGACGACGACAAGAGCGACGACAAGGACCGACGCAACGCCACGGCCCATACCATTGTCAAGCTACTGGCTTGCAATAGCACTAGCAGCAACAAGTACTCTGGACACGGCACTAATTCAGGGCAGACGCTGCCTTCCCTCCGACAATCGGGTACCAGTAGCTCGAGCAGCTCCGGCGCTTTGCAGCAGAGCAACTTGAGACTCCCGTCGCTGCCCAAGTTGCTGATCCCGTCGCTCCGGTGCGACCGACGGGTGCTATTGCCAAGTACGTCGTCCTCGAGTTGCTTTGCCGCTCGCACACCAACGACTTCAGGCTGCGGGAGTCCCAATAGTCTATCGCCAGCTGCTCGTCCAATGGCGGTACTCCCTCTTGCAGCTGCTACTTCAGCTACTGCTGCTACCCCACCAGCATCCAGTGGCCCGAAACGAGGTCGCCCCGCGTCGTTGTCAAAAGTGGCGAATAACTCGCGGAAGCGACAGAAAGACGAACTTACGCGACTGCGTGCGCAGGTCCAAGAACTCCAGCGCGAGCTCGAGCACGTGCGACTTCGGATGCCACGACACTCATGTGCGATAACGTACCGGACTGCCGACCAAGGACGAGAGAGGGGGGAGCAGTCGTTGCAGTCTCCAGTTACGGGTACTTTAACTGCTACTGCGGGGACATCCGGGGAGCTGCTGGATACTGCTGGCAAGTCAACTTCTGCTTATTCTCGCCTTGTGGTCGTTCCTGTCTGGGAACGCATGGCACAGCATCAAAAGGAGGAGAAAAGCAAAGCCGAGATGGAAAATCTGCGGCTGAAGGGACTGATTCAAGAGCAGCTCAAGATCTCCAAGGGCCTTGAGAAGCTGTTGCGGAAGCGATGCAAGTCGTCCATGAGCTCGGGATCAGATGCTGAGACGTCGGCTACCGTGCTGGGAGGCAAGCGAATTTATACGAGCAAGGCGGAGGAATCGGCCGTGTTCGCGTCGTTGGCGTCTGGCTTGGAATCTAGATTAGCTGAAATGGACACGGTATTTGAGAAGGGTGGGCTGTCACGGGAGAAACAGGAACTGCAGGAAGCTCAGATGATCCTGGATGAGCGCCGGGGTCCTGTGATGGAGGTGAAGGATGCCAAAATTTTGCCATTTGACGTAAAGGCCTGCGCGGCCGCAGTTTGGCAATCGATGAAAGCCGAGTCCGAAGCCACGGTGGTGGATGGTGCTACGCGTGACACGCTCTGCTTTAAAAGCCGCTTGCCCCTCCGTCAGCATCGAGCACCTGAAGTCGAGCTCATTGTCCGATGCGTTATACGTCGCGCTGTCGAGAAAATCTCTGGTCGTTTCGTTTTTGTGTGGGAATCCGTAGCCGAGTGTCCCGATCGCATGCCACTCGTGAGCTGTAGTGCGAAAGGATTGGAGATTCGGGATTGTGGCTGGGGCCTTTTGGAGTCCTTGCGGACGTCGACTGGTGAGCAGTCGAGTATTTTGCAGCTCTGCTCGTATTTGGTACCCCAGCTCTGCGGTGTAAGCGCAGAGCAGAGTCGGCAGCATATTTCCGCACTTGCTGAGCTGGTCGCTCCTTGTTACCGGGGTTTGTGGAGCCAGCGTCAGCGGAATATGGAAAACAAGCTCATGAACGGTGCAATTAGCGCCAAGAAGAACCACGCTGCACTCAATATCGTGCTGAAGCAGGAAGCGGCTTGGTGAAACAAGTTGCAAGGTGTATACACTAGTAGTTTGAAGCAAAACCAGGACGTGTATCTGTTTGAAGTGCTGCTGATATGGATCGGTGTGATCACGATCGCTGTTGGATCACGGTGCAGATGTGGAACGTAATGGAGGTGCCTGAGTTCTGGCAAGTCTGTGAATTATTAGAAGTGCGCGAATAATGAATGATACAAGTTAATGTGGTGCCTTCTGTGTAGTACCAGCAAGTTGTTAGTCTATTTTGAAACTGTGGTCAAGTATTAACGATCGCTCCACATGACCAGGAATAGTGACGGTAGTATGGCCCAAAGCATCAGAATGCGTCACTTGCACTTCACTTTACAATCGAACTTCGTCGTTACCCTTGATCTTCGTATACACGAGCTTCGCGCCCGGACATTTCTAATAAAGTTAAGATAGGGGAGCAAGCATTGAAGCTTGTTCTTAGGTGTGAACTGGATTAAGCTGCATAACACTAAACAACAGCAGACTCTGAAGAATGAGTATGATGCTGTTAATGTCTGGATTAACACAGTACAGAATACTTGGGCAACGCGATGGGTCTTTGTGTAAGAGCGTCCACATATGCATATATACAGCATTTGCTTATATGGCAATTTTCACCGGCAGTCGATTTAAGCCAATCAGGTACGTGTATCACAATATTGACCAAGCCAGAGAGTGACACTTATTATGCTTATTTTTTTTCAGGCTAGCTCGCACTTAGTATGTGTAAGGTAAACCTAACCGCGTTATCAACAGACAGACACACACTGACAAGTGCGATTTAAAAGCTCGGCATTTAACCTTGTGCACACTTACTGATAGCTTCATCCTTCAGGCTCGCAATAAAACTCATTCCTCATGTTGCAATAAGCTACCAACGGCATGCTTACAAAAAAATTCGGCATTTGCACCCACTGTAACCGGGTGCCTCCGTTACACGATACTTTACACAAGGTAAATATCAAGTACGAATATCCAGTTAAGACAAGCAGAATATTCTCACAATATTGACTAAAAAAGTCCAGATAAGACAAGCAGAATATTCTCACAATATTGACTAAATACTGTGCTGCAAAAGTAGTACACTGCTCATTGGTTGACATGGATTATCGATATCAACCAATAAAGCCAAGTCACGACAGAAGAACGCAATGAGTGGTGAGCAAATAGTTACAACACATGTTTGTATTTATATATCGACAAATGAAGACTAAATCGGATTTATTGACAGGAGATTTACTGTACTAAATACAGTTCTACTCTTACGCTTCTCTCGTGTTATACTTTTCCTATTCACAACACATAAATTTGAAGTATCGAGGCACCACCTTACTCTGTGTTCAATGCAAGTAGTTTGTATTAAGACTTTACAAGCGACCGGTGCCCTGTTACTTCTGGTAGCACTTCGTAGTCCGTCCAACGACTAAAAACGTGTTGCATGATGAGGCGGCTGTAACGGGGTGAATCGTTACATAACAATTTATAAGAAATTGTTAATAGAATATAACTATAAGAGTTATATTCTCAGAATATTGTCATAAGGACAAATATTCTGTAGCACTTACGAGTAGTTCCTAATTGGTTGATATAGGCCATTATATCAACCAACGAAGACGCGCCACGACAGACGCACGCAATGAGTGGTGAGCAGATAACTGATTTACACATTTGTATTTAGACATAGTTAGATGAAGATAAATAGTGATTTATTGCAGACATTAACTATTATAAATACAGTTCTACTTTTTACTTTAACCAAGTACTCGCTTCTTCCTACCGTCTTCCTCTGCACGTACCAGTGTACGTGAAGTTACGAGGCACCGCCTTATTCTGTCATCAGAATAAGTAGCTTGTACTGTCACCAGTACAAGCTTCAGGGTGCCCCGTTACACCTGGTAGCACTTCGTAGTCCGTCCAAGGACCGCGTTCCCATCCAACATGAATATGTTGGATGATGAAGATGACCAAAGCTTTCACGCTACGCGTGACGGCTACTCCCATTTGAGCGATGTCGAATGGGATGCGGTTGAACGGATGGGTTCAACCATGGGCATCCATGCTGTTAGCGTCATGCTAGAGGCTCTCGATAGAGATGCCCAACATGCTACTTTCGCCAAGTTCATTCAAAATGAACTTGACGCAGAACGCGAGAAAGTAGCCTTGCTTCACCAACAAGGTTCTCAACAAGCAGAGTTGTTGAGAGAACAGGGTGCTCAACAGTTTGAACTGTTGAGACAGCAGCAGGCTGCTGCTGGTGGGTCGATGCCCTCGCGTCGACCCGAGACTTTGAAGATTGACATCTCCAAGTATAGGGGGGTCGAAGAAGACTCCCTCTTGAGATGGTTCGTCGAATTGGATGACGCCATAAGGCGCGTCGCATCGACGACGGGGATATGCAAGTTGCATTTGCCCAGTCAAATCTGGCAGGACGTGCCAAGACTTGGGCACTGGGGCTCAAGTTGCACGACCCATATGCGTTTGGGTCGTTGGAAGTCTTCAAGTCGCGGCTCAGACAAACGTTTGAACCGCCTAGAGCTGAGTTCAGGGCTCGAACCGAACTCTTGAAGCTCAAGCAGGGTAAGCGTGATGTGCACGCTTACGCTCAACATATACGACATCTCACGAGTTGTATAAGTTCCAATCCGGTGGATGAACACACGTTGGTTTCGGTGTTCATGCAGGGTCTTGCGGATGGTCCCGTCAAGACTCACCTGTTCCGGCTTGAACTAGATTCACTAGAACAAGCCATTTCCATTGCGGAGCAGGAAGACTTCAGTCTGAGACAGGCTCGCGCCAGCTCGACATCATATCGTCAACCGAAACGATATGACAACGGAGGTCCAGAGCCGATGGAACTCTGTTATGTAGAGAGCGAGAAGGCTCGCTCTACATACTACAAGAAGTTGCAGAGATGCAACAGATGTCAAAAGACAGGACACTACGCTTACGAGTGTGGTGCCCCTCGTCCAGTGTCTCGCGACACTGGGCGTAGTGACCGTCCACCCATGAGAAAAGGGCAGGGACGAGGGTCCGCAGTTGGTGCAAAGACGCAACAACGGGATGGACCGTCAAAAAACGGACAGGATCAGTAGGTGCGGAGCACCCTACTGGTCCAGCAACGTCAAGAGAATTTGTATGCCTCTTGATGAAGGTTGCTCCCAACACACAAACGTTGTGCGTTGCTGCTCTAGGTAATGAGGTCTCACTCATTACCTTGAAACTCGAAGTGACGAATAAGTTGTCCCTTCGAGCTCTAGTCGATTGTGGGGCGTCCAACAATTTTGTGCGACGCCAATCGCTAGAAGATGGTCACTTTAAATTCAGTGAATGTGACACACCTCCTACGAGGATGACGGTACGTCTTGCGACAGGCGCATCCGTTACCGTCATGAAACGTATAGTGAAGATCCACTATACGCTAGAAGATACCCAATATGACGATGACTTTATCGTATTGGATTTGGATGACAAATTTGATGTCATCCTTGGAATATTGTGGCTCAGAAGGTACGAACCACGGGTAACTGGCAACATCGAACAGTAACGATGCCTGCCGCTTGTTCATCAGATGGCCATCTGATGAACGTTTTGGAGCGTCCACAAGCGTGTGGATGTACTACGAGTGAGTGCGATGGCCTCACTTGTGGTACGGTCGTTAGTACGACTGCACAAAACCTTAGTGTACCAAACTGTTACACTTCGGAGCAAAGTTCCGGCAGCTGTGAGGAAACACAGGCTGCGCCGAAGGTCCACCACTCGAATAAGTCGGGTGGACTGGGACAAAGATGTATCCCTAGCGGGGAACATCTAGAAGAGAAACAATCGATCGCTCAGGTTAAGCGAAACGATAATCCTAGATCTACTGGAGAGTCTTTCGTAGAGGATCTCGCTGTGGTTGCGCAACCCCAGCTAGAGGAAGTAAAGGGAATAAGTCCCAAGATTACAAATACGGCGGAAATAAGTTCCCCGAAACCCACGGGAATAAGTCCCCGGGAAGACGAAGGAATAAATCCTTCGAAGCCTGAGGGAATAAGTCCCCAGGAAATGACAGAGACATTGAATGTCATAGTCAATAACGGATCAAGTGTAGGCGCTTATACACTTGATCTGATTGCGCCTCCGAAGTTAACTTCGGAGATCACTCAGTTGCCAACGCTCGAACATAAAAGGTTCTTGCGTGATCTGCGTAGTGGCAAAGTCAAGCAGATCTCCATACTCGTCGCTGACGACGAGTGTGTAACCGACATAAGGTCAGCAACAGTATTTACTGAGAACGAGAGAGTTCTCAGTAGTTCATCTATGGACGAGAGTGTCCTCAATGAAAAGACACGAATTGAGCGATATGACTCCCAATCGTGGGAATCGCTCAAGAAAAATCCTCTCTATGAAGATTTAGTTGAATTCAAGGATGTATTCCCTGAAACTGTTCCGTGCGAATTACCGAAGGATAAAGGTATTCGACACGAGGTCGAGCTTAAACCAGGCTCGAAGTACTGTGTCATGAAGCAGTGGCCACTGCCTCGTGAACAAGTACTTGCGATCGACAAGTTCTTTGCCGATCGTTTAGCTGCGGGCCATGTGAGGGAATCAACTTCCCCACATAGCTCTCCGACCTTCTGTGTGCGAAAAGCAACAGGAGGGTGGCGGATAGTGCACGCGTTCAACAAATTGAACGCTGCAACGGTACCGGCTCAGACGCCGATACCGAGGAAGGACGTAATCATTGATGGTATGTCAAAGAGTACCATCTTTTCGTCCATGGATTTGATGGATGGTTTCTATCAAATCCTTATGCGGGAACGGGATATACCCTATACCGCAGTTAGCACGCCTCGCGGCATGCTCTGGGAATGGCTAGTAATGCCACAAGGGCTCAGTAATGCCCCTGCCACTTTCAACAGATGTGTATCACATCTGTTGAGACCAGTACGAGAATTCGCGCCGAGTTATTTCGATGACGTATTCATCCATAGTCGAGCTGTGGATGGAAAGTCGGACGTTGAGGTTCACAGGTACCACGTCCGACAGGTTCTTACAATCATGCGAAGCATCAATTGTATGCAAACCTCAAGAAGTGTATATTTGCAGCAAGCGAAATACCACTTCTTGGGTGCATCGTTGGTAAGAACGGTGTACGTCCTGATCCCGAAAAGATCAAGGCGATCACCGACTGGCCTGTGCCGGTTGATGTCAAAGGTCTTCGAAAATTCCTTGGGCTAGCGGCGTACTTGCATAAGTATTCACGCAATTACGCCGAGATGACTGTGCACCTCTCTCGTTTGTTGAAAAAGAACGAGAGGTGGTTATGGAACGCTGAATGTCAACGTTTCTTTGAGGGTATCAAGCAGAGCTTGATACAATCCCCAGTCCTAGCAATAGCCGATCAGGACAGGCCATTTCATATGGTCTGTGATGCCAGCGATTTCGCAATCGGCTGTGCATAAATGCAGTACGATCTTGAAGGCGTTGAACGCGTCGTCTGCTATCAGTCGCGTCAGCTACAACCAGCTGAGCGGAACTATCCAGTGCATGACAAGGAACTCCTTGCCATGAAGTATGCACTCGCGAAGTTCAGAGTCTATCTATTAGGAGATAGACCCTTCGTTGTTTACACTGACCATGCGTCATTACTCACGGCAGTGAACAGCCCGCACCTTTCACAACGAATGGCGCGGTGGTTGTCATTCTTTGCGGAATACAACTTTACGGTCGAGTACAAACCAGGACGACTTAATGTCGTCGCTGATGCACTCTCACGTCGTCCCGACTTTGAAACAGTCGCGAAACCCAACAGTGAGACAGTCACCGTTGCGGTTATGACGTCCTCAGTCCCATCTACAACGTTGTATGATGATGTGAGGCGGGCATACGCCCAAGATGGTGAGATAGTGAAGTTGTTGTCACATCTCTCCCAACCATCTCGAGAATCGTTGCAACGATTGTCGTCTGCGTATCGATCTGCATCAGATCGATACACTACTCGTAACGGTTTACTGTATTATACAGCCGTTTCTGGTGACACACCACGTGTTGTCATTCCAGATGATACTGATCTGCGTTTGCGGATCATGTTCGAGTATCACGATGCTCCTATAGGAGGACATCGTGGCCGAGAGAAAACATATCTCACGGTAAGTCGAGACTTTTACTGGCCCCGCCAGTACCAGTTTGTGCGAAAGTATGTTCGCGCATGCGAAGTCTGTCAACGAGTGAAGTCAAGTCCTTCACTGCGTGCACCTTTACAGCCTCTACCGGTTCCGGCTGAGTGCTGGGAATCCATCTCAATGGATTTCGTCTTCGGGTTACCCAAAGACGCACGCGGGAATACGGGTATTCTCGTATTTGTTGACAGATTCAGCAAAATGGTACACCTTGTAGCTGTACCAGAGACAATCACGGCAAGTGGCTGTGCTTGTGTCTTTATTGACACCATCTTCCGACTTCATGGGTTGCCCCGTGAACTCGTATCAGACAGAGATCCACGATTCACTGCTGATTTCTGGTGTTCCGTGTTCAAATCACTCGGAACGCGCTTGAAGATGTCAACATCTGATCATCCAGAGTCAGATGGTCAGACGGAACGTGCCAATCGTGTCCTTGAAGAGATACTTCGAAAATACGCACACTCATTTAGAGTTGGAGTGAGTTTTTGCCAATGGTAGAGTTTGCCATCAACAACTCGGTGCATGCGTCCACGACACATACACCGTTTTACGTGAATGGCTTGCGCCATCCGCGTGTACCCACCTTACTAGAGTGTAACTCTGGTTTAAGGGGGGGAGGGACTCGCGCGAGCAAAAACCGATTTGGTTCACGCTCATCGCGCTCTGACGAAGAAGTCATTGCGTTTGATGCCGATATCGATAACATCAATATCGAAGAAGATGATGCCAGTGAGAGTGCGGAAGCCCTCACTGAAGAAGATGATCCCAGTGAGAGTGCGGAAGCCCTCACTGAAGAAAAGGTTGATGTTGCTGCAGTGCGCTCACAGCACACTGAAGCTAACGAGTCATCAGATGAGTTCATACTGGCTCGTGAAACGGTAGTCCGTTTTGTGCAAGACTCCATCGCCGAAGCGGTGGATAAGCAAAAGCAAAACGCTGACAAGAATGGAAGGGCAAACACTCTTTCATTTAATAAAGGTGACTTAGTCCTACTGTCTACGGTTAATCTACCAAAGCATGTAGTGACTAACTTGGGTAGCAGTAAACTACTACCCAAGTACATTGGCCCATTTCGTGTATTGCACCGCCTAGGCAATGCATACACGATCGAGTTACCACGTAAGATGCGAACGCATCCCACGTTTTACGTTGGTCGGCTTAAGCCGTACCATCAGTACGCTGCTTCTTCCGATGAAGAACGCCCTTGCGCTCAAGCATCTCGCAGAGAGCCTTGTGCTCCCGATGGTGGGCATCAACAAGGGTCTGAAGAGCAGTTATCTCAGCCCGAGACCGATCAACAATCCCACGAGCTACCCTTAGCTCGTCACGAAGAGATGTCAGAGCTCTCTCGTTCTCGAGCTGAGCAAAGGCAAACTTAGCTCGATGCTTCGAGGCAGTGTCCGCCATTTGGAGACGCCTATTCCGCTCATGTTCGAGATCGTCGCGTACCCCTTGCGTTACGCGATCAAAGAAGCTCTCGGGAACACACCGATCCACATGATCGTGTGGAGAGCGTCTTTCCTCCTCCTCCACCTCCATTAGAGGACTCTCGCGGTGGCCAGCGCTATCTAGTTGAGCAGTTGTTGAACCACCGCGACGTGAACGGACGTCGGACGAGTTATAAGTCCGGTGGCGCGGCTATCCCCCGTCCTGGGATTCTTGGGAGCCCCGCTCCCAACTAATGATCGACGTACTGGGTCTGGTTGAGCAGTACGACGCGGCACATCCTGTGCCGCAGAAGGACCGCCGGAGAAAGTCTTCCCGGCACGGTGGTAAAGGGATTTCAGGTTGTCAATCCCTTCGTACATCTCAGTAGAGACACGTACGCGCCACCACGGGCTGGTAAGGAGGTAAGCCTCCTTAAGTGCTCGTGCAGAGTTGTTCACACAACATGGGCACGAGTCTCCCCAAGAGAGGCAGGGTAATCC